GACACACCCCCACTGAGCCATCCCCACCAAGACACACCCCCACCGAGACACACCCCACAGAGTCACACCCCACAGAGTCACACCCACCGAGCAACACTCCCACCTAGCCACACCCCCACCCAGACACCCCCAAGGAGACACACCCCCACTTAGCCACCCCCTCAGAGCCACCCCCACAGAGCCACACCCTCACGGAAGGCCTTTTTATAAAAGGTACCCGCCCAGGCCCCACCCACAAGGCCCCGCCCACAGCACCTCGGGAGCCACACCCCCAGCCCTTTTTTTTACGTTTTATAAAAGGTACCCGCCCAGGCCCCGCCGCAGGTCTGCGCTCGCGTGGGCCCGGGTTCACTGGGGCACGGCTTCTGCGCAGTGTCTGCACCTGGGTACCGGCCCAGAACCTGTGCGTACTGTTGCGAGACCCCTGACCCGGAACAACCTTCTTGCTTCCTGCGTGAGTTCCCTCCAAAACGGACTGGAATCCACCCTGTCCCACCTCCTCTGCGGTGAGTGTGGCACAGTCACTTCCCTCCAGCCTCCAAACCTTCCTCCTGCATTTTCCACCTGCCAAGCCTTTGCCCACGCTGTTGCCCACTCTCTGCCATGCCTTTCTTCCCTCCGTGCAGATTGGATGCTCTCCCCTTTAAAACACCCGCGGGGAGAGGAAAGAACACTGGGATCCGAGTCTTAAGACTTGTGCTCCAGAGTATTGGGCTGCTGGGTGACTTTAGGCAAGTCCTTAACCTCTCTGAACTGAAGGCTCCTCATCTGTGAAAGGGTGGTGGTAATGCCTACCTCACCAGCCTTCTTGGTATCATCTGGGAGTCAGTGTTCAACAAATAAGTGCCAAAGAACCTTTATACTCTAAGGCAAGTTTTGAAGGAAGAATAATTACTGCTTTCTTCTTTTAAACTTATTTTTTGGGCTGGGGATGTGGCTCAAGCGGTAGCGCGCTCGCCTGGCATGCGTGCGGCCAGGGTTCCACCCTCAGCACCACATGCAAAGAAAGATGTTGTGTCCGCCGAGAACTAAAATAAATAAATAAATTCTCTCTCTTTCCTCTCTTTAAAAAAAACAAAAACTTATTTTTCATTTTTTTTCAGCACTGGGGATTGAAACCAGGGGATTGCACAAGCTTTGTGTCAGGTCTCTCTTCCTAAACCTGGTGGGTGGGACCTTTTGTTCCTTAGTTTTTTGTCCCTCTTTTACTTCCACCGGTGCTTTTTGCCTTAAAGTCAAGTTTGTCTGATGTTACTTTAGCTACACCAGCTCTATCTTGATCTTTATTTGCTTGGTATAACTTTTCATACTTGTGGCCATCCTGGGTTCATATATTGTAGATGTGTCAGTTGTAAACACAATATATCTGGAATTGTTTTAAAAATCTGAGCTGACATTACTGTGTTTTAAGCAGAAAGTTTAATACACATACAAATGTATGATTAGCACTTATTAATTTATTTGGTGCTGGGGTTGAACCTAAGGGATTGCTTTACCACTCAGTCACATCTCCAGCCCTTTTTATTATTTTAAGCCAGGGCCTAAGTTGCTGAGGTTGACCTTGAACTTGCAACAGCCTACCTCAGCCTCCTGAGTCACTAGGTTCACAGGCACGCACCACCCAGGGCAGATTTGACTCTTTTATTTTATTGTGCTTGCCAGTGGTCAAATTTCTTTTTTTTTTTTTTGCATTTTTAAGAAGTGATCAAGGTTTCCTTTTTTCTTCTGTTTCCCCCCACCACCACTACTGGGCTTGGAAATTGAGTTGAGAGAAAACCTGAATAAACTTTCTAGATGTCACCTGCTCTAAGTTACTTGCTTTGAGTTGACGACAGATGTGTGGGTCCGGATGGTGACAGTTGATCGCCTCTAGCTGCTTTACCTGCTCTTGATTAACCTCAAGTCACTTTCCCCGTGCTTCAGCCCATGAAGACCCCCCGCCCCAGCCTTGGGCCGCCAGAGTGAGATCCCGTCCCTGTCTCCACATGCTTGGCTGCCTCCTGACTCTGCTTTTCCACAAAACTCCTGGCTTCAGGGATTGGCATCCTGCGTCCTGGGGGGCAAAGTGAGCCTGGTTTGGCAACAACCGCACCTCCCTCAACCCTGCACCCCACAGCTCCTACAAAGCCTTCTCAGGCCCCTTCATCAGTGTGTTGGCGTCCAGCGGGGAAGGAACCGTGTCCTTATGAACAGCGTCCCATGCCGATGGCTGTAAATGGGGGTTTTTCTTTTCAT